CTCAGATACACATAAGTAAGCAATTTTGGACATTACAGCATGGAATATTGAAATTGTTACGCTTCACTCACCCCTATTTGTGATATAGGAAACATAATAATCTGTTTATAACGGAGTGGTGAAATACTTCGAGCTGTACATTTGCAGCAGGTCTTGATGCAAATAGGGTTTAATTTAAACTTTCCTTTGTTCTTTATAAAACTGGAAATTGCGACAAGAAAACTAAAAAATTACTCAAATTCTCTCGGCTAGCCCTTATTATAATTTTTGTACCAAAACTTTACCTTCTTTGTAACTTTACTATGCTTACGTGAAAAATTTTTCTTTTGTAATACGAAAATTAGTTACAAACGGTTTTGATTCCTTTCAACTTTCCACCAAAATAACACTAAAAGGAAATGTATATGTATTGAAGAAAAATCCATTGAAAATACAAAATTTTTACTTTTAAATATAACAGATTAATATTTATCTTTGACAATGGATCTTAAAGGAATCTATTAATCTTGGCAAACTAATTAAACGCAACGAACCTTTATTTTAAAATTCTTCTTGGACATGGACGCTGTGGAACTTTTAGTGCTAATTTTTTCTCGTCAATTTGGGGTTGATATCAGATGGTTTCTAAAGAACTGCATACTTAAACCCGCAGGTATGAGGTGGAGTTTTACTTGGAGAAATTTTTTAATGCTTGAGGATTTCGGCGGAGGCGATAATTCCGAGAGTTCCGTACTCGAAATTACCCTTGGGGATAAATTTTCCGAGACTCATTAATTATTCATAAGTGCAATTCTTTGCTGGTCGAGCTCTTCTGAATGTGAATGCTTCTTGCAGTTTCTCGTGAGCAACTATTTCAGGGGGGCGAATATTCCCGAGACGAATTTACTCGGTGACAAATTGTAGGCGAATTTTCGGAAGCAAACACATTAGATAATTTATAATTTTTCATAAACAGTGCTTATTTTAAGGGCGAGTTTTATTAAAATTATTTCTTTGGGGTACAGCTTTTTTGAACGTAATCTATTTTGCAGAAATTTTTTAGTGGGGGCGGGGGAGATAATTTCAACGGGAAATGTTCCGGGTTCGAGTTGCCATTGGGATACATTTTCGGGCGAGAAGTTATCGTGTCGAATGTTGTCTGAGAAATACAAGGCAACTTTAGAATTGAATAAGGGAAAATTTTTAGTGGTCCAGGTTTTCTGACCGTACATTTTTCTGATAGGAGAAAATTCAGAGCCTTCTCGCGATTGGCTTGCATTTTAGTCATCTTCTATTTGGTGGAAATACACAACAATTTATTACGGTATAAGATGAGTTTTCACTAAAAAGGACAGGAGCAGGTGTTAACAATCAAGGGTTAGGTTTTCTTTCTTGCAAGTTGTAGTAGGTTAGTCAGAGGAAGACAGAATACTCAAGGGTTGGTTCTAAAACTGAAAAATGTTCCCCTTGATAGTTATTTATAATACAAGACGGAAATGGGAAATTTTAATTATCAAGTGAAAGATTTTTGAGGTTAAGGTGTAAAATGTAATCCAAAACGCGTTTTACAGAAATAATGGTTTTCAGATGTGGATACCTTGAGAAATATTTAAAAATATACGTTTTTATGTGTGATTTGTTAGATTTCAAAAGGTAGGAACATTTTGTTAGATAGGGCCATGCGATTGACTGTAATGTACCTACTCAAATTATGTATCTAAAATGGGAACCTAACATAACTTACCCCCTTGTTCCTTAAATCCGTTACTACAGAAAATATAAAATATGGGGCTTATAGTAGTACTTGGTAAAAGAAGTTAGAAAACACTTCCCACATAATGTCTACTATCAGTTCTTCGACAGCTGAAAAGATATGCTAGAGTGCCTACACCACTAACATCCATTACCAGCAAACAAACCCCATGCGCGCGATTTGAATGATTTCAAGTTCAGTAAACCTTGGACAAGCCGAAACCACCCCCGTCATTGTATCACATTCATGCGCACTAACATTCCTTTCATGAAGGAAATGGACTAATTACTTAGCAATTCTTCCGAAGTAAATTAGAAAGGGGTTGAGATGATTTGGTGATAGACGAAGAAAAGAAGGAACATAAATTTGGTCAGATGGTCCAACATCTTTTGCGCTCGATCTCAACCATTACTGCCAACAATACAAAAACTCGCACAAGGAAACGCGATCAAAAATGAGTGGCGGTCGAGTCCCCTTTGGAAGTTCAAAAACAGTAGGTACCTACTCTTTTTCGATTTATTGGAACAATAAAATTCCAAAGGTGACTCAGCAGCAACTCATTTTTGAACTCATAGTATGAGCGTGAAATGGCAAAGGACAATTAGAGAGTTTGTCTTAGCAGTCGAAAAAATTTCTTTGGAATTCCTCAAAAAGCGGCTAGAATAACTAATACTAACTTTTTCGACAGAAGAGGATCAGTTTTACCGAAGTCACCAGGAGGCTTTTAGGGTCCTTCAACTAAATGCGGTGAGATGCACCCGAAACTAATAGGATCGTCGTTTGCGGTAAATTTATCACGAAAAACATGTCCCGCTAAATCCCCCCAGGACTCACCCCTGCAATATTCCCCGCAAGAAAACAAGCCTCTGTGTACATATGCTTCCCCAACTTCAATGAGGCTAGAACCCAAAGGATTACCCGAGTTCTCTTCTATTCGATCCGATAAATTACTTCTGTCCTGGAATTCACTCTTGGGAGATTTGTCTGTCTTTATGCAGTACAATCACCCTCCGGCCTTATGTGAGGTTTTATTTTATGGATCTCCCATGTAATAAGCGGTTCCTTGAGACAAAAATGTCACGTGGGTGGGGTGGGGGGTGGGGGGGGGATATGTTACATGGAGGACGGTATTCTGTCACAAAAGTGAAGAGCTGTACAATTCAACAGATAGAAATTAGCCGAAGGGCTACTGTTCTGAAGGGAAATTCTTCGTGGTCTAGCTTTTTTTGAACACTGTTTCCTTGGGTCAAATTCTGTGTCAATTTCTAGGGCAGCGTGTTTATTTGGAGGCCAGTTTTCTTGGGGATGCATTTACAGAAGTCAATTTACAGGGACGAATTCAGTTACAGATATAAAAAGGAACATAGTAATTGCTACACGTGCGAGTTTTCTTTAGGTCAATCCATTAGGGTTAGGTCTTGAACGTAAAGATTCATTGAAGCAAGTGACAAGCCAATTTTTACAAGAGGGGAATAATTACAAGGTCGAACATGTAAGGGCTTTTTGGGAGTTGGGACCAAGTTTTCGGAAGTTGATTTTGTCCGGAAAAAGAATGAAGCTCTAGATTTGCGTGCAATTATCCTTAAGTGTTTTGGAGGGAGAACTTTTCTAACGTGAATGCTTTTTGCAGTTCCTAGTGAGCAAATCTTTAGTGGCGAACATTTTGGGGACTATTTTCGGTCGAGCTTTTCTGAACGGTGTTTCTTTCAGTTCCTAACAAGTGTTCCAGTGGAGGCGAATATTCCAGAGATGAATTTACTCGGTTGTAAGTTTTCTTGTAGGCGAATTTTCGAGACGAGCTCATTCGATGATTCATAATCTTTCACAAAATTATAAGGAACTTAAGAGTTGAGTACACTGTGCTTACTCTAAGGGTAAGATTTATTAAACTTATAGCAAACATTCCATAAATCTCGATAGACTTCGAGGCGCCATGAAAGATTAGTCATCGGCGATAAGGAATGTAATTTTTCTTGGAAATATGACGTGTTTTAATCTAGAACATTCCAACAGATTCGACAACACTCGGGTTTACTAATTAAGCAAATCGAATTGGATTTCAGAACAGTTCTGCTGCTATAAATTGTGTGTTCGTAAGTGATAAATAATATGTTTACTGTTACAAATTAATCAATTTCAATACTGTTATAAATTTATTGTTAATTAGTTGAAATAAATAAAGCACGTAATTACATTACAAAATTATTTCTTTGGGGTACAGCTTTTTCTTGGAGAAATTCGGTGGGGGGCGAGAGAGATAATTTCGGGGGTCAGGATCAAAATCAGTGGCGGCGAGTTGCCTTTGGAATACATTTTCGGACCAACCGGGGCGAATGTTGTCACAAAAATACAAGGGAATTGAATACATACTTATACATAGCTCTAAGGGAGAATCTTTAGTGGTCCAGGTTTTTTGAACGCGCATTTTACTTTATGATCGGATCTAATTTTTCAAGGTGAACTTTCCTGCAACGAAATCCAAGAAAAAACTTTGTATAAATCAGTAAAATTCAGAGCTTTCCCTTCGTCTAGGGGGCCCGCGATTGGCTTGCACTCTTTACTCTAAAATACTTTTTTTATTTGAGTTATTTGGCAGTTTGCGCAATTGACTGTAATATATTCAAGTTCATCCCGTTTTTTGCATTCCATTTATGATACTTTAAAGCTGTTAACTTTTCAAAAAAACTAGTTAACAATGCTATATTGTTAAATATCCCAAAATACAACTAATACTTACCGTTCCAGTTGAAGAACGTCCCAAACTTACCTTTTTAGTAATTCTTTCTTGTCGGGTGCGTTTTTTGGGTGGCAATTTCCGATTACGAAAGGCACATACTAGCCAACAAAGAATGAAAAAGAGAAAGAAATAAAAGTATATTTGAGAACTTTTAATCAAAACTTAACATCGCAATTTTCTCTAGAGCACCAAAGCCTATTTAAGTGAAAAAAAAAATATAAAAAATAAGGCACAATAACAAACATTCTTTATAGATTCATACACCAAGATGTTTATACTAATATTATCTATACCAACAATATTAATGCAATAGCCGATTCAAGTACGTATTTTGTGCTAATCACAAATGTTTAATAAAATAAATAACACTATTCTACCACCATTATTTGTGCATTTTATTAAAATTTAACTTTTATCTATATATTATTATTATTTACATTTAAACGCGTTTTTGTACCTATATACAAGTCTTGGAAATTAGCACCACTTTTATCAGCTATTTGTGTCGAGGTTTAATCCACCCTAATACCATCCGACGCTATTCATTTATTGCGGTTTATAGTAGTATTCTGTTTGTTAATATTAAGAGATTATGAACTTTTTGTGTGTACCCGTTAAAAGAAAGTCTGTCTGGATAAAGAACGTTTAGCGCTTACGCAAGTTTATTAAAAAAAATATGGTTGTAAATTCGCCGACAACCTTTAAATATTAAAATATTAATAATTGCTTTATTGCGCTAATTTTTTACTTTCATAGTTAGGGTTACAAAATCTTAGTTTCACCGAAATTGCTTTTTCAAAAGTGTTGGCAATCGTCACTAACTATATAAATCAAAGGTAATCATAACGTTCTTTTTAATTTCACGTGAGTGAATTAAAAGTGAGCAAATTTCCAAGAATGTTCCCCTTCAGCAGTTTGCCAATAGAGCTAAATTCGTACCTAGTTGTAACCACGATAATCTCACTTGTAAAACAGAACAAAGCATTGTTTCTGATCACTCACTAAGATCATTAAACTGTATTGCACTTTCAGATCTAGGTCAGTTTGGGAAAAAAATGTTATAATCACAAGATGACGGCGGTTTCATCATCCGCATTAAACCAATCGGAGCACATAAATTCCTTTACAGGTCACATTAAGGGTCCCACAGGTACCGGCACGATTGGATGCGTTGTTACTGGGGGTTGGTGCTGATTTTGCTGTATAATACCCGTATGGGGTTGCTGATGCAGAATCGGCCCTTCCTTGTGATGCAACTCTTCGCGTTTTTTTACCTGTTTGCGCTCTTTCGCTCTGCGATTTTGAAACCAGATTTTTACCTGGCGCTCCGATAGTCCCAAATTTGACGCTAGCTCCGCTTTACGCCTGATGGTGATATATCGGCTGTAATAAAACTCTTTCTCGAGCTCGACCCTTTGGTGATCCGTGTAAACTACCCGGTATTTATCTTTCGTTCGAGTTTTACCTGAAACAAAGAATTTACGCCGTAAATTTCATCCGTTCACGTTTGGAATTGCCAAGGCGAATAAGACAAGAGCCGTGCTTATTTAAATTATTTACTAAATATAATCAGATTAACATATCATTGCACTTAGTGATTGCACTTAAAAACTAGCTAGCAATAAACAGATCAAATATAATAATCACATCAAGGCTTCACCCGGGAGAGCTTCGAGTTCATCTTTGACGTCCTTATGATAGCCATCATTCTTGTCATCCTTATGGAAGGCTTCTGGAAGGTAAAACGTTGGCTCTTCCTTCTCCTTGCGAAACGGTTCGGGCGCAAGAAACGGATGATGCTGATTTCTATGCATGTGATTAATACTTTCGGTTTTCACGTCTTCCATACGCTTCTTTATCATTCTCCTGTCTTTCGCTCGACGATTCTGGAACCAAATCTTCACCTGCCTCTCGGTCAAACCCAGGATACCGGCCAGCTCAGTTTTGCGATTCAACGTCAGATACTTATTGTTAAATATGAACTCCTTCTCCAACTCTAAACGCTGACGGTCCGTGTAAACAATCCGGTACTTTTCCTTAGTCCTTGTCTTTCCTATAACAACAGAGAAACGCGCTCAATAAATTATCTAAATTAAATGAGCTTAAATTTAAACAAAATGGTGCAAATATGTATTAGGTAAATAAAATTTCAAATAAAAAATTGCCGACTATTTATTAAACTTAGTGTACATAATGAAACAATGACTTAAGGAACTTAGGTCTATAAGTAAACTATATTTATATCTAACCAGGAGCGTAATTTACAATCTTTTCTATACTTACCGCCAGAATTCAAAACACTAAGCACCGTTGGACCATATTTCGCCGAATTACTTACTACCATGAAACCTACGTCCGTAATTTCCACTGAGTTTGAAAAACGGAAAGGTAATCAGATGCGTCACGCGGGCAAGAATGAAATACACTCTCGCTTATCGTTTCAGTAAATGTTTGTTCTGTTTTTGAAATGAAGGAAGTTTGAAAAATTACAGGTCGTTAAACCGCAAGGTGGGGAGTGAGCATCCATCCAAAATACTGCCGTGAAATTGGCATTCCACTGACACATTCACTGCCTGTCATTCGCAAATAGTTTTCGTCTTCAGAGTCTACACAACACTCTTCCATACAATTTAAAAGTTGATTCTGATAATGATAGTCTTGCGTTCCTTTCATGTGGCTCCATTGAAAGATGCTAAAAAACAATAACACCATTTGTAATTGTCGTTAAGAAAGGAGCTTGCATTATTTTTGACATCAAGGAAGCCAATTTTTCAAATTAAGAATATGCCAATCGGACTATAAAATAGCACTCATTTACTCATTTGCTCCTCTCTTGACACTTTAACCACAACTCCCGAAATCTAAATGGAGCCTTGAGAGGGTTTAGATTTGATTATGTGGGGATGAACAAAAAGCGTACATTCAGTTTCAAATTGAATGCCTTTACAACAATTATTATGCAATTTAAAATTTTAGGATTTACCCCGTTCAAACACAAAGTTAACGTGTTCGGGTGGTTTTGATAATTCACCCTCTACTAGACGAAGATACTTCTGTTGCGATTTTGATGTGCCGCCCATAGCCGTACATTCATGTGTTCATTTCCCTCGAGGGAGAAGGACATTTTGTCCGCTCTTCAAACCACTATTTACTGTCTATTTGCACGGTTATAGGGGTGGTTGTGTGAATCTCTGATAATCTGGTAATTCTGAAAAGTTAGCAACTGGCCTAAGGTTGGTTCAAATGCTCTGAATCCTGCTTGGTCGACGTACTTCCAATATATTTATGCTAGGAATGTTGCTTTTTTAAAAAGTAATTCATATTTAAGATTCGAAATTTAAACGAAATCGCCAACATTAACAATTAAAAATGCAATACTTAACAGGAATTCAATGCAGCAAAGTAAATGTACAGTTTTGAGTTTGAAAACGCTTTGAGGAAAACGTAATTCTGAAAAAATAACAACGAACATTTGGAAAACGGGAACATTGCGGACTGAGGAAATTCTCAAGAAATAAGAAAAGAATGTTTGGGCAGTAAAAAGATCTTATGGAAATTAGTATATATTCTTCGCATAAGAATTGGGACACTTAAGTCATTGCACGAAGCTTTTGAGAAAATTACAAGAAATTCTAGGACATTATAAGAATTTTTTACTCATTCAATGTACTATACGAGGTATCCACGCGAAAACTCAAAATTGACCCGTTTGGTGTTTTAAAAGATATCCACATGAAATTGTGAAATCTCATCAAGGAAGTAGGGGGAAAATTAGTACCTCAACCTGATATTCGCTACACCCAGCCACCTCCGGTCCAAAAATTCAAATGACGCCCTTAATTTTTGTTCACGAATTCTGAGAGACCGTAGTTTTTATTACATTTATTGATGAACTTTGTAAGACCCTTTGGACAGTGGACAAGTGTCGAAATAATTAAAGCAGATTGTAAAGAAAAATACAATTTGTCAGAAAACAAAAAATAAAACTTATCGCCAAAAATACGACTTATTTATTTTTTTTGTGTCCATATTAAATGTCTGAAATCTGAACTGAAATGAAAAAGGGAGGAAAAGAACCTTTAAGAAAATCCTCACGGACGACGTATGTAGGCAATTTTAAGGAAAAAGGATCTAGAAGAATAAGGATAGATTTGAGGTTCTAGATTTAGAGAATTATCAGGAATTCTAGGAAAATGAAAACGAAATTTTTGTAAATTAAAAAGGAAATTTTAAGGAAATGCACTTCTGGCTGTTGTTGCACCGCCATCTCCACCTCATTCTGCATAAGGGAATGCAGCAGGTTCGTTGTTGCTTTTTCTTTTTAACAGCAACATTCGAAGCAATAACTAAGCTGCGGGCACTATCATAATCATATTTGAATTTGTCATTATATGAACTGAACATGAAGTTAGCAATCTTTGTAGTTTTGAATGCAGGTCAAAATTGGAAATATAACACTGAATTGCAAGAATAATTGCAAGGAAATAATAGCTCAGACTCTAAACAAGAAAATTGCAGAATTCTTTTCTGTAAGCACGTGCACGCGCAATTTTAACAGTATTCAATATCTCGCAGCAGAAATTTCTTGTAAAACTTGCAGATTTTTGATTGGCAAAGCAGTTCAGGACAATCGTGGCAAGAAGCCTACTGATTTATTCCTAAAAAATAAAATCCAAGCCCACAAACTTATACTCGTAGTCACCTCACTGAAATTTTTCTAATTTGTAGCGCATTTTTTCAACATTTATTTGTAAAAAGGTAGCTTTTAATCTCACTTTGGCCGGCTGGCTGGTTAGCAGCAAATGCGGGCCCGTAGAAGAACGCTTGTAGATAGACGAGTCCCTTTGATCTCACACGAGGACTTTTATCATTTTTTTCATCAAGTATTATTCATTGTTTCACATACAGCGCCATGGCGAAATTTATTTTTTCTGAAACTACTTTCATCTCTAAAAAGGGCAAAGAAAGTTCTTCTCTTGTGAGGAAAGTAAAAAACAATCTCTAAGGACATTTAAAATTGAAACATAGATTGCTATATGTGCCAAACTTCATTATTGTAGACGATACTTTTTGAATTTTGATTGTAGTATCAGAAAAAATTATGTGTAAAACTTGAGAAGAAAACTATCATTCAATTGATACACTCGCTACGCTCATTAAATTTTGAACTAGAATTGAAAAATTCCACTTTCTTGTCTAGTTGTACAAATAACTATTACCCGCTTAGTTTTGGCGGAAAAACGATTCTAAAGTGGGGGTGCTAACTTGCAATCAAGTTACCCCCATAATATAATTTCTTTACACAAACATTTTTGTGAGAACAAATTAGTCCTTAATATATACGTTGCATTTCTTTTTGTTAATTCTAAAAATATTACCCTTTTTTAGTCAAAAATTGTTTAAACAATGTGTAGCTATCGATGCAACTAAGAAAATTTCAATCGGAAAAAGCGGGGCTGCTAGGTTGATATCATGTTAGCACCCCCACTTTAAAAACTGGTTTTCCGGCGAAACTGAGCGAGTACAAATTCTAATTTTGTGGGTACAAATTAGTCTTTAATTAGTCCTAAATTATATGCATATTCTTATTTGATTTGCGCAGAGTGGGGGTGCGGGGTGTGCCAACTTTATGGACCTGCAAGATTCATCAAGTACAACACAGCAAGTTTGCTACTGACTCTTAGATAACTAAGTGCAATAAAAAACTACACGCAATTTTATTTTATTGTAGGTATTCAATGGCGGTTGGGGTAATGGGCCAATTAAGTAAGGGCTCTAAGTTCCATACTTTTTTCAGAATTAATGCTCTTACTTCAGTAGTGGGGGTTTCTGAACTGTGATCGTTTAGAGGCGATGAAGGTTTCAAAGTCTAAGTCTCTTTTTTAACTTTAACCATCATTCATCTCCAGGTGCGAAAGGGGTTCTAGTACGAAATTTTGGCATTCTCGATAAATCCTAGCGCAACACAAATTTTCAGAATGTTCTGATATGAATTTGCGTACATTTTTTTCACATCAATGTAGGTGTGCGGTACGAGTTCAAAATCTTGTGGTATTTAAGAATTCTTGAGAATTGTTTGACATAAATGGAAAGTGCACACTCAAAAAATGAGGTTAAATTCTGTTCCCCTAGTTTGATACAGCGAATTAAACCTATAGTCCAAAGCTGATACGTTTAGTTTTAGTTCCAGAATGGAATACTATTTTTTATTTTTGTTATCTGCAATTATAAGATGTGGAAAGATGAAGTGACGGTTTTACCGGATACGCAGTTTTCGATTTTCTGAGCGATATTGCAAAATTATTATCAGATAATAGCGCATCCTCCAAAGGATTGCCTATACTGGAAGTTTTCAGCATGAAGATAAGCGCATTAAATGCCAGAGTATATCAGATATTGCATTCATTTAAGATAAATCCCCTTCCTATTTCCAGACCCAGAAGCGAAAGAAACGAAGAAATGAAT